AAAAGATATGTTAAGATGAGAGAAAAATAACTGTTGGGGAGCATTTCTATGATTAAGATGAATATTTGCCACAATGAACAGTTCAAATTCTATATACAGTATAATTACTGTATATAATGAAACACACACTTATATTGTACAACTATCATACTTTTTGAACCAACTCTGTTTTATATAAATGAATCCCAAATTTCATTCTACTTATCCACACAAAGTCTATGTCTATAGGCCAGTATTGGTGAGCCTTTTTCACCAACTGGTCTTCACACGCGCATATGCACCAGAAACCAGAAGACCAGTATGCGTGCGCCGGAAACCGGAAGATCATCTTCTCAGCATGCACATGCACACCGGGCAGCTGCTCTTCCGGTTTCCTGCACTCCTGTGCACATGAAGACCAGCTGACTGGAAGAAGAACGGACGAGGGTGCAGGTGCCCGGAGAGATGGCTCTGTGTGCCACTTGTGGCACACATGGCATAAGTTTGTTCACCATCACGGCTATAGGCAATCTGCTCATAAAGAACAAGTGAAATCAAGTCTTCAGTCCATTGAGTAAATGGGGCCATAAGTATATCTTTCCAATGTTTCAATATCAGTCTTTTAGCTATAGTAAGGGCATGGAGAATCCATTTACATTCCCCAGTTGTTAAATTCCATGTACTAAGTATGTAATGCAAGAGATTGCTATCTTCTGAAAATTTTAGGTTTCGTCATAGTCACATTTAAAAGTTTCTACTGACTAGTTGTGCCCCACTCATCTCCATTTCTTAGCCAAGGAAGCCAGTATTGTCCAAAGACACTTTTGTGGTCATGTGGCCAGCATTAGTGGGAAGCATTACCTTCCCACTGAAGTGGTACCTATTTATCTACTTGCATTTGAATGCTTTGGTACTGCTAGATTGGCAGGCCTTGAACCCAGACTGTCAGCTTTCCATCTGGCAAGCTCAGCATTTTTAACCGCTGAGCCATTGTACCCCCTTTATATATTTATATATTCCTATGCTTTCTTGCAAAATATAGTAAGTATAGGACATTGTAAGAATATGTTTTAAGGAAGTATTATCCTTTTTACATCTGTAACAAAATGTTGTCTTAAACAATCCTTTTCTATACAGGCATAATGGAGTCCAATAAATTCTATTTTTATTGTAAAAATTGTAATTTGAGATCCAGCGACACTCTTGCAATAGAAGTTAAGACACACTTCCATTGCCTAGGCAATATAGGAACCTTTATTCTACTCATCAATTAATTTTTGCATATCAAATAGGTAATAAATATCTCTAAAAAATAATGGGTTTCTTTTTTAGTCTTAAAAGAGTTAACTAGTTGTTCTAGTATCTCAGCTGAAAATATTGCTGGTCCAAGCAATGTTTAGGGGACTGCAAACTAAAACATATAAAATGGTTGCTGGAATTGGATATGTCTAGTTTAATGAACTTTGAACTGTGGTGCTGGAGAAGACTCCTGCAAGTCCCTTGAACTGCAAGGGGATCAAACCAGTCAGTCCTAGAGGAGATCAACCCTGACTGCTCTTTAGAAGGCCAGATCCTGAAGATGAAACTCAAGTACTTTGGGCACCTAATGAGAAGGAAGAAATCACTGGAGAAGAGCCTAATGCTGAGAAAGATTGAGGGCAAAAAAGGAAGGGGACGACAGAGAATGAGGTGGCTGGATGGAGTCACAGTTGGTGTGAGCTTAAATGGACTCTGGGGAATGATAGAAGACAAAAAGGCCTGGAGGAACATTGTCCATGAGATCATGATGGGTCGGACACGACTTTGAGACTAACAACAACAAGTTTAATGAAAATAAGGACTAGTGGTGATATGCTATCAGTGGTTTGGACTAGAAGATCTCCAAGGTCCCTTCCAGTTCTGTTGTTCAGTATTCTGTAATATTGCCAAGAAATATTGTTGCTGTAAATGTTACCACTGAGTTACATCTCATAGATGATAAAGTCTCTCAGCATAACGTATGTTAACAATTCATCCTCAGTATCAATCAATTGGTCCAATGTCAATATCCCTGTCTTCATCCAAATTTTCCATATTACAATTTTTCCCAATTTTTAATGTTGGATTTCCCCATAAAACCATTTACATGAGAAAACTGTTTTTATTAAACATTCCATTCCATATCTGTGTTATATAATTGTTTCCAGCGGTAGCTGATTTTTTTAGTATGTAATTAAATCTTAATACTATCTGCCTGACCAAAGGTGCTATAGATGTACATTCAAAAATTGCCCAAATCAGAAAATTAACATGTTATTTTCCAGGTTATTTATAACAGGTAAGCATGCCTATAGAAAACTCCATACTCCCTACAACTGATGATATCCTCTAGTTGGGTTGCAAAACATCTGCATTGTATATGATTATTCTACACTATTATGCTCATATTTATAAAACTCAGTGCCTCTGTGAAAGGTAAGGATGACTACTGCGTTTGTGGTGCAATCAGAACATTGCTTGTGTTGAAGTTGTTTTAACGCAAACCAAAGATGCCTTTTAAAAAACAAGTTTCTTATTCTTATGCATGCCAGTGCNAAGCCGTACTAAGACCATACTTAGAATACTGCATCCAGTTTTGATCACCATACTATAAAACAGATGTTGAGACCAGAAAAAAAGTGCAAAGAAGAACAACCAGGATGATTAGGGGACTGGAGACTAAAACATGAAAACGGTTACAGGAACTGGGCATGGCTAATCTAGTGAAGAGAAGGACCAGGGGAGACATGATAACAATGTTCCAGTATTTGAGGGGCTGCCACAGAGAAAAAGGGGTCAAGCTATTTGCCAAAGCACCTGAAGGCCAGACAAGGAATAATGGATGGAAACTGACCAAGGAGAGATTCAACACAGAAATCAGGAGAAATTTTCTGACAGAACAATCAACCAATGGAACCGCTTGCCTTCAGAAGTTGTGGGAGCTTCATCACTGGAGGCTTTGAAGAAGAGATTAGACTGCCATTTGTCAGAAATGGTGTAGAGTCTCCTGCTTGGGCAAGGGGTTGGACTAGATGACCTAGATGACCTCTGGACTAGATGACCTCTGTTAATCTAATCTTAATTATTCTCTTGCCCTGGCCTTTATGGCTCCAGACACAATTTCTACCAGGTGCAAAATGGATGATGCAAAAATATCTGCAGAGAAACCTTGCAATATTTGGAAGTATTTTACATGACATAGCAAGCCACATATCTTAAATCTTTATAGCTCCCAGCTGTAGGCTTATGGCTGTAACTATTCTATCTAATAATGTGAACATTTTCTTTCTTGTATGAAAATTGCACACTGAGGAATAACACTTCCACAGCCCAATGCTTGCACTGTGATATAGAAAACCAACAGCATAGACGCTAGTCAAATCTTACATTTTCTTTCTATGAAAAGCATAGAAGGCAAATTACTAGCCATTTCACAGCTGGTAGTGTTTTCTCCTGCTACTCAGCATGAATGTGTGTGTTCCAAACCTATCATATAGTTGCCACATTTGTATCCCACCTTTCCCTAAGGAATTTAGGAAAGTTTATGTAGTGCTCAGACCTGCAAAATAGATGAGAATGAAATAGAACAGGAGTTCTATGTGTATATTGAAAATCTACTCTAATTGCATGGAGTTGTATGCCAACTTGTGGGAACAAGAAGGGTGTGGGGTGACCCCAGTGATGATTCTGGCTTAAAATACCTCTTTCCAGCCCTGCTTCTCCCAATATTGTGCCAAGATCAGCATGACTATCCTTCAGGAGGCAAGCTACATCAGTGCTGAGCAGTCTTTTCACAGCCAACTTAAATATGTGCATGCATTTTATTTAAGGATTTAAGGAGGCAAAGGTTTTTCAAACAGGAGAAAAGATGGAGTGGGGCTGGGGCGAACTTAGACACAATTTCCCTTTCATTTAAAGCATTTGAGGTTTTGGTATTGCCTGCCTGGTTGAATTGGGAGAAGGAAAGCTACGACTTACACTGAATGAGTGTGGGGTGCCCAGGCACCTGGAAAGTTATTCTCCTGGCATATCTCCTACCATATCAGCAACCTTTGCCGAGCTATGTGGAAGAGGGCAGCCAAATGGTCTCATTGAGATTTCAAGCACTTTATTTCACAGACAATATCAGAGTGAATAAAAAGAGCAATTGAAATAATAAAATGCTTTATAAAAGAGATCTATACATACATACGCAAATAAGGAAACTCAATCAAATATGCAGCAAATGGGGCCATTCTTTTTCTGCATGCCAGCCTGCCAGCCATGGCCTTATCTCAGCTACACAGTTCCACATCTGCCCCATTTACTCCCCCCACCCCATTAAGTATATTGGGACAATTAAGCCAGCCCGTATCTCATTGGCTTGTAATATAGACTGCTGCAGATTTTCTTTTTAAACAGAAGATATAGTTTGCAAAACCTCTGAGTATCACTGCATATACATGGTTTCGAACACTTATTTCATGAATTCAGTCGTCGCATGATTGAAGCAAGTTCTCTACTTCTTGGTGGATACTCTGTTGTCAAGAAGTTTATCTGTGTGTTTAACATAAGCATTTATTTATTTATGGCATGCATGCTCTTTAATTTTCTTATGTTTAGGTTGTATAAATATTTATACTGCAATCATTATAGCACTTTATATCGCCCATTTGACAGTTGGTGGCTAACCCTTGGGCAGGAGTGGGAATTAGGCTAGAACAGAGTTCGGCTTATTATTGCCTCTCTGACTATTCAATAATTGTACAACATCACATGTAGAATGGTGTTATGGTTAGAATTGGGTAATGGAATTAATGGGATTTATTTTTCAAAACTACTCTTTGAATAGAAAACCTACGTATAGATAATTCATTATCTCTCTTAAAGAGCTTCCTAGTTCTTAGATAAGTAGCCAACCTATATACCAGTATTACTTCTTGCAACGAGTTCCACTTTTTGTATGAATATTTATAGCAATGCATCAATTAGTCTTTTTTTCCAAAAATCTCTTGGGATACTAGGATGATGTAGCCTATGAGGAAAGGACATATGAAGGTGGGATGTTTGCCAGTGTTGAACTCTCCGGAAAGCCCTTTGACGAGGCTTTACGTGAAGCAGTGCTGAAGCTTCTTAAATATGTTGGAGGAAGCAATAATCAAGGTGAGGTTCTTTATAACACAGTTGTTTAGCTGTATATTTGCAACACTGAAAAACCTATGTGTAGGTGAACATAATTTTGTTTCTCAATGAAGAACCAATTATTCATTGACTCTCAGGAGCTGGCATGGGCATGATGGCCCCAGTGTGTAGCACAGTCTATCCTGCAGAGGACGGATCATTGCAGCAGAAGGTGAAAGTTCTGCTACGGATTCCAAGCCAGTTCCAAGACAACCCCCCTTCACCGAGTGATGAGAGCATCCGGGTTGAGAAAAGGGAAGAAATGGTTGTTTATTCTACGTAAGTTTCTTTAAACAAGTTTGAGTGAAGGACTCATAGATTTGTCCATGGCTGCCATTCACTTTCCTTAAGTTGGTACTTCCCAGATATATTCCACCTGAAATCTCATCAGCCTCTCTAACAAAGCTGTTGACCTTGGCTACAGAGACTATGAGGATTGAACAACTGGGGAGACCCAAGATTTCCTAAGAATACTTTGGATTTTATTATCTTTGTTAATTTTTAATATTCAGCAGATTATAATCATAGTTAAGTTTGGATCAGTGAGTTATCTTGAGTGCTTATTTCATCATGCAGTGGTACAAAGCATTTTTCTATTAGCAGAACCCAAAAATATAGCTTTAATTTCACAATAGCTTCCATATATTTCAAGGGCAATATCTGTGTGTCAAGGCATGATTCTTATGGATGCAAGGGTCAAATGGGAATTATAACTACTGTATTGAATCGTTAGCTTTTAAGTTAATTGAAGCAAGAAGTTCCATTTTACAATTTTATTTTGCTAATATAATTCTGTAAGGTATTATATACGCTGACAATTCAACAAAATTAAGACCCTGTATTAGGTGTATCAAATTGGATCTTGAACTTAGACTATTTCAGATTCTATGGAGCGAAGAAGTAAAATGGAATAACTGTGAAACAATCCAGACAAAGATCTTGAGAATGGATGAGCTACTAAAGTACTAAAATTTACTGAAGTACACAAATTAATCTGCTTGCTCTATTTTTTTACTATTTACATATAACCATGATGGCGAACCTATGGCACAGGTGGCACGCAGCGCTCTCTCTGCAGGCACACAAGCCATTGCCCCAGCTCAGTTCCAACATGCATGCACATTCCTCCCGCCGACCAGCTGATTTTCAGGTCCCTGCCACAGATGCATGGGGCGCATGCGGGACATGCGTGTGCATGCACAGGGGGAGAAAGAGGTTGTGCACGCATGCACAGGGAGTAGGGGTGTGGTGCATCCCCCACGGCACATGTTTGATCCCATGAGGCTGCAGGGAGGCCTACTAGGCCCAAAATGGGGCTCAGTGGGGGTCACCTGCGCATGCGCAGGGGGAATGCAGGGGGAATGCATGTGTTCATGCATGGGAGCGGGGGATCACATGTGCATTGCACTATGGATGCAAGTGCATGCGCACTCTTTCGACACACGACAACAAAACGGTTAGCCATTACTGACATTTAACTTTCAATCATTCACTTTTTTCCTGTCAAATACAAATACTGTCATCCCTGATGCATTCATTTTCCGATTCATCTGTCTGGAATTCATTCACACATGATTTGAACTGTGGGCTTTTTTTAATTGTTGTTGTTCTTTTTCCCCCTCATAGGCTGTTTGGAGGCTATGCAAAAGAAATAGACTATGTGAATAATGCAGCCAAGCTAACTTCTGCTTTAGGAAATGAGGCATCCTTCCACAAAGACTTCTATTTTTGCAATGGTTACGATCCCCCCATGAAACCCTATGGGCGGCGCAATGAAGTTTGGCTGTTGAAAAAAGTGACCAATTAAAAAAGCTGGAAGGAATTCTAGAAAAATATTCACCAGTGCCATGGAAAGCAATGAAAGTGAAAACAAGAAAACTAAAGAGGGCTTGCTTTTGAGATTCATTCAGCATTTCTTTTTTTTTTAATTTTTAATGAACATATATTCATAAAATTCTTTTGTATTTGCCATTTATTTCACAAGGCATATATTTATATTTCTTGAAATGATTTTTCTCCTTACAGAATAGGAAGAATAAAGTGCCT